TGTACATACGTGCCTGCGTGCGTCGCACCACCCGCGCGATCACTGCGATCACATCGCCAGTGCGGCCAACCACTGATACTGATGACGACGACGACCCGGGCGCCCGCGCCGGGCCGACGGCGACGACCAACGCCGCCGTGAGCGCCATCGGGATATGTTTCAGCCGGTTCAAAAACAGACGCGGTTTTAGCGGCTGCGCATAGAATAGGGAACGGGGAACCGTGTAATATTATTAATATTAATATATAATATGCATTGTGTACACGGCATACAGAATATAGAATAAAATTTCATCGCTGTTCCTTAGCGTTATTCCTCATCCGTTCCTCTATTCTGTGTAATAATTAATAAATTATTACATATATGTTAATGAATTTCATATGATAATTTTGAACTGTTCCCTATTCCCTGTTCCCTATTCCGTTTATTGTGCGTCCCTTATTATCGCCGATAAGGTGTTGTTTTGATTATTTCGTGTGTAATAAAAAAAGATAAAAGTAAAACCGAGCCGCCACTAAAGTGAACTGCGTTCGCTTTAGACGCTTACACGCTCACACACGTTTTACAAACTTACAAACACTTTTACAAGTATATCATATGACTCTGCACATATGGACACGGAACTTTTCGAAATGAATTTTCGAAGAGATCGATTTTCGAGAGACTTGTCGATTCGCGTCGATCGCACGAGGAGGATCGAACATGAAAGATCGAAACTCCGGAGTTCGACTCCCTCGGTGTCGAACATGGCGGCCTCGTCAACATGTTCAACGCGATGATTTACGTTTTCATAATAATGAGATAAGCAGAATTGAACGTTTACGGGATATTTATCTGTAAAAAAAAAATTAATCTGAAATAATACGACGAGATGGCGAGCTGTGTCAATTCCGTAAACAGTCTACTGAAGTCTTACAAGAACTGGATCGTATCGAATCCGCAGTTACTGACGGACATCGAGGCCACCGTCAGATGTTTGTCTTACTTCAGCTTTGGTTAGAGAACAAACCGCACTGTCAAACGCTTTATTCGCGTTTCCACTGTGTGCACGACTGAAATGTATGCTTCTTCTTACGCAGGACACTTCCGTAATTCGACTTTGGCCGTGGAACTGATTTATTCCATGCCGAATCTGATTGTTCTCTGCAACGACCTGCTCATGTACAGCAGTAGACGCCAGCACTTGAAGATACCTCAGTTCGACTCGAAGATTAAGATTTGGTTGACCGTGGTGGAGTACACCGAGACGCTGCTCGAGGTGACCGCTAAGAAGTTGTGGGGCCCAAAGGGAAGGTGGTTGATAATCGTAGTCGTACAGTTGTTCAAGTAAGCACTCCGGCGCTCTCCTTCATTTAGGCGACATAACGAGCCTCTTTTCACCGTCGTTGACCAACGTTTGTTCATTTCAGGTCCGTGTTGCGACTGTTGTTAATTCATGTGTGTAAGGAACGCGTGACGAAGAGCCCGGCGACGCCGCCGCTCAACAGAGAGAAATTTAGTAAAGTTGTCGACGATGCGCAGTCGAAGGAGGGCTTCATGCTGAAGAGATCGGGCACCGTTGTTCGAAGCGTAAAGTATTCGGCTCCTATAGAGATGCGAACGTGGAAGGCTTTGCCTCCTGTCACAGACGAGAATGAGAATCTGGCCAAAAACCAGGAATCCGAGAGGAATCTTAAACTAGCTGAGGTCAGTTGGGATATAACGCTACAATTTTATGTGATTAATGATGTGTTTATTATAAAAAAATCAAAATGTCTTAATTTATACTGGAATTTATTAAAATCAAAGTATTGCTATTATTATGAATCTCATCAAAATGGATACATCTAGATTATTAAATTTTAGGATAGATAAAAACGATAGTCATAGCTAAATTTGTTTGTAATTTGTTATCTGTATTTAGTCTTGTTTCATTTCATTCTCTTATTCTATACGATGTAATTTAAAAAATAATTACACTAATGTGAAAAGAGACGTAACAAAATATACAACTTCTAGAGTCTTTACGTGACAAAGCCACTGCTTCATCTTGGGTGTATGTACCTCACCAATCAGGAACAGTGGCCACCGTGGATATTGTCGCTCGTTATCGATGTAGCCAGGTAGACAGCATGAACTCATACTATAATTGATAAATTATAATATCATATTTTTTCTATACATATAATTGGAATGTTGTCGTTTGTGCAGTTTAAACGTCTTCACGCGTTACGCCCGAAAAGCATCGTTCAGCAAAGAGGAGGAAGAAGAACTCGTGCGTCGAAGATTGAGCTTGCTGTTGTATATCTTGAGATCGCCGTTCTACGACAAGTACAGCCGTAATAAGATAAACTCGCTGCTCGACACGATATCTACCTCTGTGCCTCTCGCCAAGTACTTGGCCAGTGCCGTTAAAAAAAATTTACCGTACATGCAGAGTACGTATTTTTATATGTGGTCGCGCTAACTTTACTAACGTAAAGCTCGGTACAAAGGAAGCGTAAGCTGAACTGTACAAATACGAAAGCCGCATAATCTAAGCATTCCATAATCCATAATCTATAAATAATTGGAATATCATGGAGTTATGTTATTTTTATATATCTTTCGCTGTTATACTGTTTCAGGATGAATTTTAAGCAATGGTGTTTATATAATTGGTATATTTTATTGTTCATTAATTTATAGAAATAAATTTATATGAAGGGCACAGAAAAGTTATTTTCTCCTTCAGTAATCTCATCAATTCGCTCTGATTAACTTTATTAGCGTCCCGATTATCTCATTAGCACGTAAGCGTGAAGCGTAAAGGAGGACGGATACATTTCGACAGATATTCCTGAATATATATTTCGACGGATTTTCCTGATTCCTGTTACAGCTTCTTCACACAATTCGAACAATTATGATTCATAAATGACGTAACTTTGATGTACGTATGTAATTTTGTTTTTATCGAACTGACAAAATTCTTTAAAGACAATTTTCAGTTTTCTTGATAAATTTGAAGCTCCGCTAATTGTAATACGGAGTATAGAAGATATCGCTTTTTTTTTGTAAACATGATTCTATGTTGCAGACTTTTGTCACGAGTGTCATGATACATGAGTGAGATGATTTATCGCCATTTGTAAAACAATGCTTCCTACAACAATGTACACTAGTGATGATAATGATGATGTTGAACGAAATCAGTGATCCGTGATTCACGATCTGCAAGATCTGCTCGCACCAGTGATTCCTGATTATTATTGACCTTCGTTGCTTGTTTATCAATGAGACGGGGATGGCCTTGCTCTTTCTCTCCGCGTTTAAATGGATGCGCGGCTATTTTGATCCGCCGGGAATACCACCGGGCGCCTATTACCGGTGCGAGCGTGCTACGGATTATTACACACATAATCGTAATTATAATCGGAAGCAATTTATTCTATTTTTTTTCCATGTTTGTGACAGATATTTTACGCAGTTCGGAGAGCCCACCGAGAGTGTCATTATCAAGAACTGTCGTTTCTAGCGCGCCGTGAAAGGTCATGCATTATATCTCGTCCGGTAGCGCGAACTAATAACGGAAATGGGTATTACCGCTCCGCAACGCGCTGATGCATTTTATGTATATACATATTTATATATAAATCCCGGTAAGTCGCACTTCGCGTTTTATTTGCTGCGGGTCAGTTTCATTCAGAAAGCCGTGTAAATCAACTCTTTCTCTCTCTGGAAATTCTGGGCTCTTCAAGATGAATAAAGTCTTCCTGATTTTGCTGTCATTGTCCCAGCTGTTGCAGCAAACGTTTGTCTCTGCGCAGATTATTTTTGGTACCACAGGAACGGCAACAAGTATGTATTACACTGACAATGAGTATATATGTATTATTGTTGTAAGACTTGAAAAATGTGAAATACTAATATAAGATATGAAATACAACAAGTAATAAGAAAAAATAATATAGATAGATAAAAAAATTATTAACTGCGGGCATAAGTGAGAAATATTAATGACTACTTAGAAGATTACTCTCACATGATGACTCATTATTTGAGCGTGTTATGTATCAACAAATTGCCTATTTTAACACATTTAATTTATGAACTATTTTGCATTTCTGACATATTTCAACATTTTCTAACGTATTTCATTGCTTTTTATCAGCTGCTATCGTGAATCAATGTCAGTGCTATCAGGGAACTACCTGTCCCACAGGCACTGGCGGCATGGACATCAGAATAGTGAATGCGGTAATTACATTTTAGTTCACAAGACGAGTACGATAAGAAATTATTTCGATATAATGCTTCATTTTGAAACAATTAATTACTATATCTGTAGAGAAATTGGAAATATCAATTCTACGTGTAAATTAATTTTATACAAAAAGAAGTAAATTTCTTTAAATATATTATTTGATGATTATTGTGTTATATACTAATATATTATTATATTAACAACAGTTTTACCCTTTCAGGGAATAATTTGCCCTGCTGGATACGTGTACTGTTGTCCATCCGGCGTTCCAAGTAATCCTTCTTGCGGTATTCGAAAAATCACACCCTCCGCGCATCCAGTGGGACAAGCTGCTTATGGTGCATATCCCTGGATGGTGGCTATTTTGACCACCGGCAACGTTTATGTCGGGGGAGGAGTGCTTATCAGTACAACGCACGTCCTTACCGTCGCTCATAAAGTCGCAAGTTATGTGTAAGCATCACATGCGCAAGTTTTAGAAGAATATGACTTTTATCTTTTTATAGGATCTTCGAAGGGATTAATTTCTAAAACTATCATCAATATGACATTTAAATTTTAATATCCCATTCTTTGTAATATATATATTTTCTCTCTCTTATTAAAAATGCGTTACAGAAATGGTGGGATCAAAGTGAGATTAGGTGAATGGAACACTCCAGTTAACAATGAACCTAATCCGTACGTGGAGATCTCCGTTTCAAAAGTCACCCTGCACCCTCAATATAATTCGCAAAACCTCCAGAATGATATAGCGGTGCTTAAACTAAGCTCGGCTGCTCCCATCGCAACTAGTCCTAACATCAACACGGCGTGTCCACCATCTGCACCGGCTGCCGTAGGAACAAGGCATGTATAATTAATATATTTGATATTCAAAATCACTTATAATTCTCTTCAATCTATCTCAACGAAATGTATAATGATCTGTGTACTTTCTATTTTGTACTGCAGTCATATTAATTTTTATATCATTGTTTTGTTAAGCGTCGAAATGTCTCAAAATTATAATTTTGTAATAGATAACGTCTTGTGTGTAATTATATATAAATATAATATTAATATCTTGAAGATGTTGGGTGTCGGGCTGGGGAAAAAATGCCTTTGGAAGTAGCGGTATGTATCCAAATATCCTGAAAGAGGTAGACGTACTTGTGGTAAGTCAAGCAGATTGCCAAACAGCCCTTCGGACGACAAGACTCGGTAGCATGTTTGTTTTGGACAGCAGTTTCATGTGCGCGGGAGGGGAAGCTGGCAAAGACGCATGCACTGTAAGAGAATATAATATATATTGTCTCTTGCTAAGAGTATAAATTATATAACAATCCGGGTCATAAAGTTAATAATTTAACACGTGTTCATTAATTAATTCTAACAATAGCATTATGAATTTTCTTTAAAGGGCGACGGAGGCTCACCGATGGTGTGTTCAACAAATAACGGGCCCTATCAAGTTGTTGGGCTGGTGACATGGGGTATAGGTTGCGCAAGTCCGGGAGTACCTGGTGTATACACTAATGTGTACAATTTCCTTCCCTGGATCACGCAACAAATGACATAGCTCTTGAAAATATACAGCGTAAGAATTAATTAAGCAAGAATAGAATGTTCACATCGAGCTAAAATTTGTAAAATATTTGCAATAAATTATTAAAATGATTAAAATATATCAATGTAAAACATATTTTGAAAGAATTAACCCATACACACACACACACACACATATATACATATACATATTAATATATCATTTTGTAATAGAACTCTCTACAAAATGGACCTAAATATCGTCAGAAAAAATTTTTTATTTCCTTCAGAAAAAATGTAAAAAGCAAAGTTTTTGAAGAAATTGGTTTTTTTGCCGTTATTTTATATTAATAAACTTTTCCATTTCAAAAGTTCAATTGATAAAGAGTAATATACTGTTTACAAAATCGCAAAATTTTACAATAGGCTCGCCTAATCATTGCAAATTCATAAAGAAAACTCATCAGTCCATATTTCTTAACATTTTTGCAACGTTGACATTTTTTTATATATAAAAAGAAAAACCATCTTTTACTTTATTTTTAGTAGTATTACTGCTCTAAGCTGATACAAGTTTTCCAAGATTATAAGAGAAAAAGAAACTATAAAAAAAATTGACATTTTTTCTTGTTTCTAAAATTGCAGGTATTGTATAAGTATTATATATGGAACACGGAAATAATTAATACACATTTTGCAGTTTTCTTTTGTAATTGTTTAAATCTATAAGAAATACATAAAAAATATACAGACTTAACATTTAAGAATTATATGGAGGAAAGAATATAGATATAACGAAGAGATTTGGTACTCTTGCTTACAGATTTGCGTCCTATCTTACAAAATTACGTATTAAAATCAACATAATAAAAATTACATATAAATAAAGAACTTCGCAAAGTGAGTTTTTATAAAACCCCAGCGTCAATGTACAAGTGAGATTTAAAAAATACCTAACTTAGACTATATATATCTTATATGATACATTATGCATCAAACAGTCGCAAAGTCCTCTAATTTTGAAATATTTTCTAAGAAATTTATAGTAAAAATTTAGCATTTTATTATTTATATCAGAGCATATAGAGCGTATAGAGCATTATGTAACGTAATATATTTGGTATTAATATGCCTTTGGGTTTTAATTATCAAGTATCTTAATTATTTACTCTAAGTAAATTGATGGCAAAGATAAGAAACTGATAGATTATTCGTCAAATTATGTCAGGAAGAAGAGAAATTTATTAATAATAATTTTAATTCACATGTGATCTTGTGAATGTATTAATTTATTAATTACTATATGCAATTGCCTAATATCATCCCACCACTGCCATCAACTGTGATATTAATGAATTCTATGTAGGTACACATTTATTGTACTCGTACAATAAATCGTGACGCATCTCGCGTATTTTACTATGGAGGTAGATATTCGATAATGCAATGAGAGCTCAGACAGTTGGTGCATTAACGTGAGTGTGGGGAACTTGGACGGAGTGGAACGCTGTTGGATGCAAAGCGGGCAGTGATAACAAGTGTCCGCGTTCCATTTCATTCACTTCTTGTTGCTCTGTTCCTCCTATAGAGCCGGTCGAACGCGCCAGGCTATTACGCTGTCTGCACATGTATGGCGTCTCTCCAGGTGAAGGAGTCTCACGACCCTGTATTACATAAGTTATTGTCTTATAAATCTTATTTACAGATCTTATCAGTAAGGCTAGATGGATAAAACAAAATGTGAAAGAAATGAAATTTTATGATACAGGCGATATTTGTCATGACATGTGTTAAATGCGTGTAACAATTCTCTTTTATCTTGTTGTTAAAACAAGTATAAAAAAACAAATACAAACATAAAAATAAAATTTACGTACAATTTTGATTTTGTATCCTTGACTATATCAATCTTACTGTAACCTGATATTAAATTTGGATAAATAATATAAACTTGATTGTATAATAGTTGGTTAACTCTTCAAATAATTTAAGTCGATTGAAGCTTCGTCATGTAAAATTTTTTTTCTTCGCAAACAGATATAACTGTACTTTCAAGTAGATGAAATACAGAATTTAGGTTCCCAGACGTAGTAGGCAAACTATCGCGATCTACAGTCGTATTTGATTCTGATTTTATTCCTTCTAAGCATCGTCCGAGATATTTTGACTCAGGGGACTCCAATGGAAGACTTATATCTCTTTCCAAGCCATACTAAGGAACCAAAGAATATACGGATGATGAATGATACAAGAATACAAAAATTTATAACGCGGCACTTACTTGTTTGGAAGGACCACAGCACGTTGCATGATTGCACGGGTTATCAGTCTTTGGACAATCCAACACGCAATCTTCCGTGGGAGTCTCTTTAATTTCGCTATTCGAATGATACTAGAATGATAGAATGATAGAAAAATGTCTTTAATATACTAAAAGTATCTAGTAATATATTTTGCAACGCATTAAAAATATCTAGCAACAAAAGTATCTATTTTAGAAGCAATCGTAAGTTGTTACTGAAGCACCATTTATCCGTGAGTCGCGGATAGTTCAGTGAATGTTCACTTTACGCATCATTAACGCTGGACAAAAGATCGTGTATTAACTTCACGTGTGACT